AAGGAAACATCTTAAAATAAATTTTAGTCATTCTGTATGGAAGCATTATTCACTTACTCTAGCTGGACAAACATAGTTTAATGTTGTCATGAAAACTGTGTTACTGAAATAACATCAGAAGAAATGTGCTGTTCTTGGAGGCCACTTGCCCCTGCCTGTCTTCTTCATCTGGGTCTGCGCTGGAGGGTTTCTCTTCTCTACATGTGTTTCCTTTCTAGGTCTTTTTCCTGATCTAGAAGAGAATTAACTAAGTCTGGAGCCTCACTTACAAATTTTTACCAGTGTGGAAAAGCCATGTTTTTCTACAAGTGTGTATTTATACTTTGTAATCATATTGACTCGAGTATATTCTGTCATTGTATTAGGAATGATAAATTCCTCTTTAAAAGGTTTAATTGCATCATGTTCTTATCCTTTGCTGAAAAGCCCAACCTCCTTGTACTCTTGTCTCCAACCTGCAAACAACCCTCCTGCTCTAGTCATGCCCTGGTATGCCCAGACATGTCTAGATTTGCCTTGTACTATAATGGACAGACCATTCCCACCCCCACCTCCTCTTACAAATCATGCACTAACCATATTCAGAAAAGTTCAAGCCTTAGCCAATCAGGATCAGATTAGATGGCACAGTCCAAGCTAGCCAATAGGGGAAGGACACAGGGACAGGAACTGCATTAGGGATAAAAACTCCTTCTCTCCTTTGTTCAGTGTGCTCTTGTGATCGTGACTGATGCACAGCATCCTTCTGAAGTAAATTGCCTTGCTGAGAAAACTTTTTGCCTGAGTGCTAGTTCTTTGTGGCACCAAGCATTTGTTTCTGACAATCAGCTTATAATGCAGATTTTGCACATTGGTAAAAATTTGCTAGGCTACCTGTGTGTGGTTTGTGGCTCTGAGTACACTGTGCCACCCCCTTTGAGAGCAGCATGTGAGCTGCCATGCTAACATGGAAGTGAGGCTCCACACTTAGTTAACAGTTGCTTTCAGTAAGATAGGTTGTCATGCATCTAGAGGATGTGACCATTTCTCCTTCTCAGTATAAAAAACAGCGGTCAGACTGTTCTACTCAGATGCTGAGTGCTGCAGGATGCTTAGGGAATGGTGCAAGTACTCTAGATGCTTTTACAGAAACTGAGAGACTACCTACTATTTTAAGGCTGCCTAAGTGATTGCACAGTAATTATTGCCAAGTTGCATATGAAGACTTTTACATTTTTTAAAGTGTATCACCAAAAATTGTAATGTCATTTACGTTGACACAAAATTTGAGTAGCATTGTTAAAATAATTGAGATGCCATTAGGCTGAGATGGTCCTAGAGCCCTTCAGTTCCTAGGTAAGGAAATCCAACCAAGCTCAATTCAACATAAACAGTGAAAAAGAAAACCCTTTACCAGTCAGAAACCACCACCGAGGCCAGGGACTTTCCAGTAGATCATACGCAATTAAGACAAATACTTAGCCCTAGCAAATCAAGCAGTTGCTTCACTTTGCTTGCATGTTCAGCCTATAAAACCCTGTTGCTCTTGCTGCTAGAGTGAAGCTCTCCGAACCTTTTCAGGTTCGAATGCTACATGAATCCGTTAATGCTCAGATAAACTCTGCTAAATTAATTTTGTCTGAAATTTTCCTTTTAATACAACTCTCTTATTTTCTGTGGGTTGGAAAAACAGAGTAATAATTTTATTAGAACTCTGTGCAAAGTAAGTATGTGTATGCTCCGAGTGAAGCAAAGAGAGGGCTGCCTTCTTATTAAATGTGCTTTCCTACCAGGGCATGGAAAATACTTTAAAAAGCGTTTTTATTTACTTCTGGGTTCCTTACTTCACTCCAAAAAGCTGATTTGCCTGAAAGTACATATTACGTAAGAGAGATAGTCGAAAATTGACTTCAGCAATTTTATGTCTTGCCTCACACAAAAGGCTTGGATGCACCAAATTTCCACAGTATTAAACAAACCCTTCCAGAATTTAAAAAAAAGTAACCATAGGAAAATCTTAAACATAATACAGAGATAGATTTAAAATGTTACTGAGCATACTCAAATAAAGTAAATAATAAATACTGTCACATTTCAATTTCAGCTATTAAGAAATTTTTGTTTCTAAATTTACCATATATACATTTCTGAAATTACATCCTAAAGGGACTGCCTTCCTAAATTGATGATATCAGTATTTATTACAGCTCTTCTCAGCATGGAGGCTTTGACAGCAACAAATACCAAAATAAATGTATTATGCCACACAGTCAGGAAGCTCTGCTCTCACTGAATTCTGAATAAGAGACAGATAATCCTGTTCTGATTCTCTAATGTGTGCTTGTGCCAATTTAAAACTTTTCTTCTTTAAGGCAAATAGCTGCTTTTAGTAAGAGGTCAGTGTACTAGTGATAACTTTAAAGAGATGAAAAGGTTTTGCATTGACTATTTCAGTTATCTTGAGGTCTCCAGATTTGTAAGTATCGCCTCATTCATTTTCCAAAAGGCCCATTAAGCTGGTTTGGAGAAAGTATGAGTGTGATTTTTTTTTTTCGGGTAAAAAAAATAAAAAGTGAACTCATGTCAGTCATCTAGACATTACTCGATTTTGTTTTTTCTGAAGTCCTACCAAATTTCTGTCTTCAGAAAATGTTTCTTTTTTCTCCCACTTTTCTTCTTCAACTTTTGAACAAATACTTAAAAAATATCTTTAGGGGTGTGATTACTATAGACGTAAACCAGTGTCATAAATGGAGTGATCTGGCCCAAATTTTATCTGTCCTAGGAACCTCTTTTACAAGATTGATTTAAAGACTACCTTGGTTGGGGTGGGGTGGGGGGGGGGGCAAAAAAAAAAAAAAAAAAAAAAAGACTACCTTCATCCCTTGGTCTCTCCTCCTTTGGGTTTCTGAGAGGTTAGGAACTCCCACTCTGAGATACTCTCTGTTCTCTCCTTCCATGGAGTGTATCCACTACTTTGAAATCAACATCTCTACCAGACACATCACACTGAAGTTCACACACAGTACTGTGCTCTAGAATGACAAAGCTTCCTGCAGCTGTTGTACCCTGAGGGCATTCCCTAGGCCTCTTAGGAACTCAGTCTTGAAGGCTCCAGGTAAGCAGGTGAGTTCAGCTTGTACTCATCACCCAGACTCCTGTAGTATTTACTTTCATCTTCAACTTCCCACTCTCTTCCAACTAAAGGGTTTCCAACGTCAGCTCTGGCTTAGCTACCCCGTCCATCTGCTACCTCCTTTCATGCCTGCAGCAAGCCCTGTTTCTGTTCTCTGAGGGGCTGACCCAGAGCTCCTCCTGGTTGACCAAGCTTGCTTCTCCCAGGGTAACAAAGGGCAGCAGCATTGGCCAAAGACAAAAAGAAACCCTGGGGAAGACATCCTCCCTTACATTTCCTGCCTGCTGGAGTGAGGGTCGAGGCAAAACTTGCTCCTACTTTTCTACTTCGCCCTTCACATTAACAACAACAATTTGAAGGGCATTAAGGTTTAATGTGTTCTCTGTGGATTCATACCAGTTCCTAAAATTAAGTACTAAACTCTATTACTTATTGATGACATCTGATTCAGAAGCTTTTCTTCATGTACTTCCTCATTTTCTGGACTTTGAACTTCCCTCTCATGTTAGAGCCAAGGCAGCTGTGGCAAACCAGCCTTTTATTTTTTCTTGCATTGCATAAAATAGAAGAACACTCTCCAAGTGTATCCAACTTCTGTGATTTATATTCATCAGCACCTCAGGACTTTACACCACACCAAGCTTTGTGACCATGGGGAACATTTGCAGACCCTGTTATGGCCATGATGCATCCCTCTATTCCCCAAGGATTCTCTATTCTACCCTTAAGCAGTGGTCTGCCCTCTTGACAGCGGTTTTCCATTGCAGAGACATGGTCAACAGGGAGGAAAGATGCTTTCAGGGAAGCACGCTTGGATTTCTCTAAAAATCATATACTTTCCCTCTAAAGTCACATACATTTTTCCATCTCCCCTTCCTCTAATCAGTATGCTATTTAAGCATCTGTACCCCCATTGAGATGTGGGACAATCACTCTATAATTCTTTCTGCATTCATGGTAGTAATAAATCTGTATGCCTTTTCTCATTAATCTGCCTTTTTTTGTGAGTTGATATTTCACAAAGAGAAAAGGGAAGCTTTCCCTTTGTCCTGCAGCTGGTAATGATTGGCTCAGGGCAGCACATGGTACAGAAGGTAGATGGTTACTGAGTGAGCAACCCACGGTCAGGAGGACTGCCCCACCATCAGAGTGCTTGGCTGGCTCAACAGAGGGTGCTGATTTTGCACTGATTTTTACCAATCCCTCAAACACCAACTCCTGGTCAGCTACCCATGAGGCATAAGGCTTCATTAGGAGGGTCAGTGAGCTTTCATTATCACACAGGGGTTTTCTCCTTTTCTCTTCTAAAATCCTTAATCGTATCCTGTGTACATCATCTTAATGTGACCTTTATGTTTTCCATGAAGGAGTGTATATGTGTGTGTGTGTGTGTGTGTGTGTGTGTGTGTGTGTTTATGTACACACACAGTTGTTCTGGTGCTTGAGGAGGCAAAGCTAAGTGTTTGAGGCCAGCTTGGGCAATATGGAGATCTCTCATGTATATATATATACACACACACATATATATTCATATATGTGTGTGTGTGTGTATTCCTTTATATATATACATATATGTATAGACACACACACACACACACATATATAAAATCTACATAGAGACACACTCCTGATATAGGAAAGCATAAAATTACGACCAACTGTGATTTTTGTTCATTTTAGCATAGAAATTTAAAATGCTCAGATTAATGCAACATAATCTGTTCATTTAGGGATTTGTGTTTAAGTTCTGTGCTTTAGTACTAGGTGGCTGCAAATCACAATGTACTTTCAAAACAAAGTATCTTAATCTTTTTATAAATCCTATTCATAATTTGTTCAATTCCAAAAAGAGTTTATAAACATGTTAAGACATCTGACACCATTCTATTGCAAGAGGATAGAAATTTATTGCAGCAGAATAATATGATTTTTCACTCTCAAGTTTATTATTCTCCTTATTTTACTGTAGCAACTCTAGATCCTTTTGTATAAAGAGAAATCAGAAGAAACAGAATATCTACAATCTTGGTTTAAGAAGTACACTGGGATCTGGTGACCTAAACCGTATGTACAGAATATAAACATATTTATACTTTATATGTACATAGTTAATGGTTACCTATGCATTATAAATAGTAAGTTTAACTTAGATTCTATAAAAATAATCATTTTGGATGGGCACATGCAAACGAGTACACATAAGCCTATTTATAAAACACATCTCTATACTTTTTTTTGCTTCTAAATATAAATTTTGCTCTTTAGCCATCAGCTAAATGATTTAAATGCAAACCCCAAAGATTCCAGTTAAAAGTATAAAATCTGCTTCTAACCCCAACAGCATACTGCTTCAAGTATTCTCCCCCTACGTAAGGTCTAGGTAATTTTGTCACATATGAATTTTAGATGCACATCCCATTTCCTCACGTTAGACATCCTGCCAGGGTCACAGCTTCTTTGTTCCATTTTTGTTTAATAAGACATTGCAAATAGTAGATATTTCTTAAAGTGACATCATTTTCACTTTTGCGTTTTGATAAAAATGAACATACTTAAGCCTTTTTCTTGCACCGTGACCCTGATGCTCTAGGATAATGCAACAAATTCTACCCTCAATGGTTTGCAGGGCCATCCACGCAGGCAGATGACTGAGTGGCCACAAAAGGTTCATTTTGCTTCTGGTCCTCTTTCATGCCAGCTGCCTGGTCTGTGATCGAGGAGAAGGACAGCTGGTCATGCTCTATGATGTGCACTTGATCCTCGTCCTTGTCCTTCTTCACATAGAACATTTTTCTGAATTTTTTCAGCTCATGGAGTTCACAGAAGGTTTCCAGAACTACCAACATGGCAATAAGGCCAAGTAGCAGGTAACCTGTGAGAAATGGGACAGTATCTCAGTGTGATCTCAACATAGATAAATCAAGTAGCGAGTGACTTACCTCCCAACCTCATGCCAACAGTGTCTGTTAAGGAATAAACTATTGCCAGTTTTTTAATTTTTAGGAGTGTTTTTAAGTCTATGGCTCAAAGAGGAACTACCTATTATTAAAGAGTGAAAGATAACAAAGAATGATTTAATCTCTGATGAACTTGGATCCGTTAGAATTACCGGTTGCAATTTTTGAGGAAAAAAAAAATACTTGAGGCTGACATGGCATTACTAAAGACATACGACATACTGAACTTACCCAAGTGTGATCTTGCATGCAAGGAAGACTTACGACCTCTGTTTTTTAATCAGTGATTCACAAAAAGCCAGTGATGTTTTAACAAAGTTTTCATTTTATCATGGGGTGCTTGGAAGAAAGCTTCTTATCTTTTTAAGCACTCAATACTCTTACAATTTCTACTATAGAATAAGAGTTTGGTCATAGAAATTGCAGCCTAAATGCTATGGTTTGGCTGTGTCCCCACCCAAATCTCATCTTGAATTCCCATGTGTTGTTGGAGGGACCTGGTGGGAGGTAGTTGAATCACATCACGGGGGCAGGTCTTTCCCCTGCTGTTCTCATGATAGCGAGTAAGTCTCATGAGATCTGATGGTTTTGAAAAGAGGACTTCCTGGGAGCTGCAGTGGCTAAGGCCAGTTGTCCTGGTGCTGGAGGAGGCAAAGCTAAGTGTTTGAGGCCAGCCTGGACAATATAAAGAACTCTCTCTCATGCATTGAAAAACAAATTTAAAAAAAAAAAAAGAGGAGTTAACCTGCACACCCTCTCTCTCCCTTTGCTTGCTGCCATCCATGTAAGATGTGACTTGCTCCTCCTTGCCTTCCACCGTGATTGTGAGGCTTCCCCAGCCACGTGGAACTGTAAGTCCATTAAACCTTTCTTTTGTACATTGCCCAGTCTCAGGTTTGTCTTTATCAGCAGCATGAAAATGGACTAATACACTAAACTAAATAAAACATTTAAGAATGGATGTCGATATTAAATAGGTCCTTGTGCATGGCTATCTACACTTGCGCCTAAATCCGGCAGCAAAGCCAAGCTCTCCATTACCTCCCAGTCATTTTTGGACACATGGACTATTCACTGGCTCACACTACTAGCTTCTTACTGAGAAAATAAAGGATAACTGTTGACTTGGATAAAATGCTATTGCTTGGACTCTGTCATGGGAAATGGTGATTTAAAATTCCTTCCATCATTTTAAAAATCAGTTTTCAGAAAAAAAAAAATTCATCATAAAAAGGAACAGAAATGTGAAGGTGGAAACTTCAAGAATAACAAAAATTCCAATTTCATGTCACGGTGGGAAAACATTTGAGAAAGATTTTCAAAAATGTACGAATTAGGGAAGCTAGAATTGACAGTACAACAGGAATAAGGAGGCTGATGAACCCAAGAATACAAAGTTTTAGTATCTTCAGACTCTGACTACAGATTTTGATAACATTATCGTGCATTCAATATGCTCTCCTGTAGTTTAAAAGTAGTAACGACATTGTTAGACTAATTGATGGATCTGTGTCTTTTCCTTCCTTTATTATTATTATTATTATTATTATTTGAGATGGAGTCTCATTCCGTCACCCAGGCTGGAGTACAGTGGCATGATGTCGGCTCACTGCAACTTCCTGCCTCCCAGGTTCAAGTAATTTCCAGCTAATTTTTGTATTTTTAGTAGAGATGGTGTTTTACCATATTGGCCAGGCTGGTCTCTAACTCTTGGCCACAAGTGATCTGCCTACCTCAGCCTCCCACAGTACTAGGATTATAGGCATGAGCCACTGTGCCCGCCTTCCTTTATTATTTAGTCAAACTCTTGAATGCTGACAAAAATACCCATGGGGTTTCAGGCAAAAACTGTGAGATTTTATCCTGCCCACATCTAATATATCTTTGGAACTTTCGTTTGTTAGATACTGAAGTTCTTGATGCTCAAAACATAAATTAACTATGTATATTGCTTTTTAAAAAAAGATCCACATTGTAAGAAGTGATAAAATGTTATGCGAGGATTTCGTATTATATGAAACACTGAGGAAGTTAAGTGGTTGGGCAAAATAAAATTTTTGGCCAGTCTGGTCTCGAACTCCTGGCCTGAAGTGATCTGCCTGCCTCAGCCTTCCAAAGTACTAGGATTACAGGCATGAGCCACTGTGCCTGGCCTCCTTTATTATTATTTAGTCAAATTCTTGAATGCTAACAAAAATACCCATGGGGTTTCAGGCAAAAACTTAAAATATAAAATTTTGCCCAGCCACTTAATTTCCTCAGTGTTTCATATAATACAAAATGTATAATAATGTCATCAAAATCTATAGTCAGAGTGTCTTCTGATTCTCAGGTGAATCAGAAGACAATTTATATAAGAGAAAATTGTTGTAGCTGCAAACATAGTTACAGAAACATTCTACTTCCCTAAGTCACAAAATAAAATAAAATGATCACCTATTAAATGAAAAGAAAGTTAAGATAATGTTTACTTGGCTATGAAACTCACATACACAAAAAACATTTCTAATGCTACTGACCAACGCCACCCCAGGAGTGCTGAAACTGTCATAGTCAGATAATGCTGGTGACAGTGTCAACTCATAACAACATTTGGAAAGCACCAGGCCATTATGTTCTGTGAGTCACAAAAAGGCGTATTCACTTTGCACCAGCAATCTCATTTCTTGGAAGAATATCAAAGTAAGAAATGTGTACATATACAAAAATATTCTCTACAGCGTCATTTATAATACCCCTGAATTAGAAGAAACCTAAATAGTAAGCAATAGAGGCATGGTTGGATTATGGTATGGCTACCTGGTGACTATCATATGGGCTCTAAAAATAATGCTTATGGTAGCTACAGGAAATATAAATCATCCTAGTAACCATTTGGCCAAAAAAAATCTGTTGAACTTGTACGGTAGCCAGGCACTGTTCAAAGCATTGGGGATTTATGGGTAAAGTCTTTGTTTTGGCTGAGCCCGTGGTTTAATGGAAATGTCAAAATACATTTCACATGTATTTTGTGTCAAACACAATTCAACTAAGCATTTTGTAGAGTTAAGAATTACAAGACAGGGCCAAGACAGAGCATCTGGCTGCTTGACTATTTACTATGATTTCTTAGAAAACATGATCTGAGCCGAGTCATAAATTGAAAAATTCTTAAGAAGGCAAGGCAGAAATGAAAACAGTAGGTACATTATAACTGCAATTCTATGCATCCTGAAAAGGACAGGAAGGCTCACACGGAAATGAACAGTTTCTTGAAAATGGTTTTCTATGATATTATATTGAATTTAAAATGAAAACTGCTAAAAAGTATAAATCCTGGCCATCTGAATTTTAACGCCCATATTATTTTCCACATACAAAATTCTGGAAACAGTTAAGAGAGTCTAACTTCTTTGAAAACAAACCAGATGGACACATGAGGTAAGGAGCTCTTTTAAGAATTTTTTGGTAAATTAAAGAGCATCATTGATAACAAGCTCTATCCGAGGCCTAGTTTTCTTGGGCTTAAAATATTTAATAAGGTAGAGTAATCCTTTTTTTTAAATTAACAGTTGGTTATCAAGTACATGCTGTATGATGTATTTTTGCACTGTCATTTATAATGCCTATGAGTAAGAAATTGATCTGTAATTTTAAGGTGCCTGTGAAAAGTAACTCAGTAATGAATTTTTGCATAAAGAGTTTTGAAGGAAATCATAAAATGAAATGATTGAGAAGGTGGTAAATTCAGAAAACTTCTCAATAAGAAAGCAATCAGCACTTTTATAAACGCCTCCTCACTGGGAGGTGAGGTGGAGCTTGCAATGGCAAAACAGAGACAGAAGGAGCAGGCAGGGAGCCATGATACTCACATGTGATCCCAATCTTATAGAGCTCTCTGAATTTTTGATTGTAGCCTTCCCCAGGCACATAATCCCCTAGGCCAATGGTGCTCAGGGAAATAAAACAAAAATAAAAGGATTCCAGGAAGTTCCAGTCGTCCTCCAGGACAGAGAAGACAGCGGCCGGGATGAAAAAGAAGCAGGACACAGTGACAAACCCGAGGAGCACGGCGTGGACAATGGCCACCACCTGCTTGGAGAAGCCCCAGCGGATGTGGAAGTAGAGGACGGGCCTGCGGGTGACGTGCACAGTGATGCGCTGGACCACAGCTGTCAGGAACAGGAGGGTGAAGGGAATGCCGATGACGGAGTAGATGATGCAGAAGGCCTTACCCCCATCTGACAAGGGCACAGTGTGGCCATAACCTACAAGGAGAAGAAGGTCACTGAGGCGAAGAGGAAGAGGCAGAGTGGCAAACACATTCTTAACCAATATAAGCCTATCGTCTGCCTTTATTCCCCCCAAATCAAAGAGAAGAAGGAAGACTTCAGGTCTGCCACCTTAGAGGCTCTCGCATAATTGTCATGTCAGTAAAATTCAACAGTGGTTGCTATAAGTTTGGAAGTCCACCATTCTTTGTAAAATGCAACCAGCAATTCCAGCACATCAGAGTCTCTGGACTTGAATTCACTATCAGGCTCAAACACAAGTTCTGTGTACTCAGGAGCTAAGGCCCACAACATCTTTTTTTTAATTATTATTTATTTTTTTATTTTTTATTTTTTGAGACAAAGTCTCGCTTTGTTTCCCAGGCTGAAGTGCAGTGGCACAATCTTGGCTCACGGCAACCTCCACCTCCTGGCTTCAAGCGATTCTCCTGTCTCAGCCTCTCAGGTAGCTGGGACTATAGGTGCATGCTGTCACGGCTGGCTATTTTTTTTTTTTTTTTTGTATTTTTAGTAGAGACGGGGTTTCACCGTGTTAGCCAGGATGGTCTTGAGCTCCTGACCTCATGATCTGCCCACTTTGGCCTCCCAGAGTGCTGGGATTACAGGTGAGACCCACACCATCTTAGACCATCAGGAAAAACTCATCCGAGGCTACCCACTTCACCAGGCCCAGTGTATCCCCTCCACCCCTTCACTTTCCCTAAGGATCCTCATTAGTGTCGAAACCTCAGTCTACACTCACCTCTCCAACAAACTGCTCAGAATGTTCTAACAGGAACAACTGACAAAGTGTGAACAGAACCAAGATCATCCAAGTCTAGTAGGAGAGTAAAGTAGACTCAATGAAGATAGAGATATCAAAAAGAGGAAGAAAACTTGAAGATTAAAGCATGCCAAGTCACAGGATGGAGCAATTGTATACAGCACCCTTGACATGAGTAACTCCATCTTAGAAAACAACTCCATCTTACATTTCACAGGGCACTTTGCCAATAGGGACAAGATGTTATGCTTAATAAATAAAATCTGCATCCACCAGATAAGGGCAAAAACAAGCACATTCTGTCACTATCAGTCCTCACCAGAGGACTCCGTGGCCGTAAAAAGAGCTAGACATCAGTAGCTCGAAATGGCCGTCTTAAACTGATACTGTCTTGCTGACAATTGTGATTAGCACCTGGCATTTGCTGGGAAGGCTCTGCCCCCACCAAACACTCTTCCTTGCAAAACCTGTGGCTCCCTGCCTGGCCCACACCAGGGGATTCGTATGTGTGTGTTGCTCTCCCAGTCTCCCAGGACTGGTTTGTTAACCCTTCTTCTTGTCCCTTTTCTCTTGATGTTATATGTTACTTTGTTTGCTGTGAAATGTTTGATCTGTAACACTTACCTATTGATTAAGTATACTATTAAGTATGGTTTGCAATACAACTGATTTGTGAAGCGGCTTGCGTGCCTGCGGCTCTTGACTACCAAGGGAACGGGAGGTACTAGGGAGAATTGCCTCCTTGCAATTCCACACAGCTCCTGGCTTTTGTGACCGAAATAGCATCAGTAAAAGTCTAACACTATGGAAAGACACAAATGCACATGGACATGGTTATCCCTGACTTTGTACTGCTCATGAGAATACTTCTTGTCAAATATTTTGCCCGATTATCTGGTTAAATGGCACATTCATAAACTGACACATTCCCCTCCACCGTCATTTCTGTATTTTCAAAGATGTCATAAATTCCACAAACATACATTGGAAAAATTGCATTAGGACCAGTGGTTGAAACACATGTCTGTTTTCCTTTCTACCAGGTTGAAGTTATTCCCAAATCAAGCCAATCAGGGGACTCTTTATCCAACTGATGCCAACAGAGAACCCAGCTGGGCCTGGGGCCGGGTGGCTATTTTTAAAAGCTCATGAGCACTTCAACTTAAAAGAACATGTCTGAACAAGTCAATTCAGGAAAAAGCCAGCTAAATACGTTTTTTAAATGAAATTGGATTCTCACAAAAATCCACATGGGTGATTATAATTGAAAAACAGTTTCAAAATCTGATCTCTAAAATAATAAACAAACTCCTCAGTTGCAAATCCCCCAAATTCTCTGCTTTATACCTGAGGCTTATACCAGTATATGTGGTTATTAAAACGCTTCCTCAATTATTCCCATCTACAGCCTTGCCACAGCAGAGCCAAGGTTCTTGATCCACTGCCCCGGAAGGTACAGTTTATGAATGAACTACAGCCAGGCCCCGGAATCCTGTGAGATTGTACATCCAAGTTCTGGTGGAGAGATTCCAGGGCTTCGATCCTCCAGAGATTCGCATCCCCAGAGATTCCAGGGATTCCAAAGGGGTCCTCAAACGGTTAAGAACCACTCTTGTTCTGAGAATCCATTCCTGAATGCCTTTGGTCCCTGCACACCCAGCTGCTCCTGGAATGCAGTGGCTAATTTTGACATTGAAAGAGGGAAATGGGCAAGTTGGAGAGTGTCTTGAGAATAACATGAAGGATGGTGCCAAATAATGTTCACGCATCATATGGAAGCGGGAGCCTTTGAATGTTTCATTTTGAGAGGAAAAAAAAGTGTGAAAGAAGAATGAGACTTGTTCTGAGGAAAGCAGCTGATATCACAGAATCACCTGAATTAATGGGAGCCACAACTTCAGCTAGGCACCAAGTAGGGCTGTTTTGAAGCTTGCAGAGATCTAGAAATAAAGTCTGAAAATGGAAATGTATTTAACCGTAAAAAAGCCAACAGGAGAGCCATTCACAAATGTAGTTACTAGCTTGGGACTGAAAGGAAATATTAATAATAGTGCTCACACAACCAGAGGGTCAGGCAGAAGCTGCAATGGATGAATTTAGCTTTGACACTGATTTTGTCAAGAAAACAAGATCAGCTGAGTCACTTGGACTCCAAGAAGCCCTTTAAGTCTATTTTATTACTTTTTTTGGTCCTTTTTATAAATTAGCTTTACTAAAAGTGTAACACACAGCCCAAATCTTCAGTACCATCTGTTCCAATAATTTACATGATTTAGGTTCTAGGAGAGAAAAAAAAGTAAACAAACTTGTTGTTTAAAAATATTTTAGCTTAGGAATTTTCTCCCAAATTAGCTCTTTTCATTAGAATGTTAACTAAATCTCATTTACTAAAATGTTATCTCCAAGCAATAAAGATAATCATTATAAGACTCTAAGACCTCTCTCAGCAGTAATGACATTTTTATGCTAGTACTGTATAAATATGATATATTCCCACTAAGAGATTAAAAATCACCACTGTGCAGATCCTTACTGAAAGTAATTTTCCTCCTCTGATGTGTACATAAATAATTTTTTGTTAATGGAAAGTAAAATATAAAATTTACATCTCATTTGCATTCCATACATTTAACACAGGCCATATTGAGTAAACCACCCTCTGCATCAACTATGCACATTTCATTTGCTATAGATGGCTTAATGATCTGACGGAAACTTTGTCTTACTGAATTTTAATGAAGTGGTGAATAATTTACTTAAGTCCAGTCAATTGAACCTTCAGATAAATCACGAAGCAAAACTTATATTTTTGAATCTTATGATCATATTTAACTCCATTACAAACCACAAAGAATTTAGCAAAATGTTAATAGATCTGGCTCACTTGGGTTAAATTTTTCTGAGGCCGGTCATCACATAATTTTTGGACCCAAAAGATTGAACATAACAAAGACCGCTGAAAAAAACTGACCTCAAAATTAGTTATGATCCTGAGATAAAGCTCTCACTCACTAATGTTCTTGAATTCTAGCCTCCTACTCCACAAATGCTGGGTTTTCTGTTATGAACATGCACATGTGGGGCATGTCTGAGTATACATATAATGGGAGGTTGTATTGACGACAATCCCCTACAAAATTTGCCTTCCCATCTGGCTACTCTAACTACAACAACCCTGACATTATGCTGGCTAATTCCCAGTCAGGGGCTATGCCTTGCTAGATTTTTCTGATATTTAAATGCTCCTTAATGAGGCCAAGACAGAGAACCTTGTGAGCTCCTATTGAGTACGTCAGAGCAAGTCACTGATATGCAACTTCTTCACATATACCAGATGCTTTTGAGAAGGGTGCAGCTTACCATGGCCCCACGTTGTAACCCCGAGCCTGTAACTGTATCACTTATTTGCATTATTTAGTATGATATGGAAGAATGTATACATTCTTCATTAAGTTAGCTTGATACATGTGAAGAAGGAGGAGGAGGAGGAGGAGGAGGAGGAGAAGCAGCTGCAAAAGAAGAGCCTCAGTCTCTCCACCACAACAGATATTGAAATCAGTTCCAATGCTTCCCCTTCTGTAAAACAAAATTTACTTTGCAATCCTGGAGTTCAGCTTATTAATTGTATCTTTCCCACTGGACTGTGTGGCCCTGGAGAATAGACCGCGTCCTCTCCTACTTTAATTTCTCCAGAATCCCCAAACACAGCACTGTCCAATCTACAGTGAACAGTAACACTGGTGCTGTTAGTGACTTCAGTGTCACATGGGCCAGAAACTCAATTGTATAGTGAAACTCACTGTGCAGTGATGAATAAGCTTCAGGTCAGGTTGACTTTCTCTGAGATTTTCATTTTGCACTTTGCTTGAAGTAAGTTTTTGTTGCATATTTTCCAAAAAAAAAAAGCTAACTTTGAGATACCTTGCATACAACAGGATTTCATAATTCCCTTTTGACAGCAATACTTTTCATGGATAAACTCTGTTCCTCCTTCCTGTCCATGCCATGCACACAATAAGGAATGTACATCTTCTCTTGTTTTGCTTATGTTATAAAAGGAAGTTTGCCAGAGAAAGAAGTTTCAAGGAAGCTCTAAATAGACTGAAGAGAAATGCTGACAGACTGAAAGTGGTCTGTAGTAAATAGACGTGACCAAGGAGACACAGAAGGTCAGAGGTCACAGAGGTAACAAGTCATGGCAGGTGCGAGTGGT